GCTGCAGTGCGTCCTTATGGGCCTGTCGATCAGAGGGAGTGGTGCACGCGTGCACGTGAGCGTGGTCTCCTCGATGATGGATGCCGGTGATTTGGAGTTTAGGGGTGATTTTGGCACGAGCTCCCGGATACTGGTGGCGGGTAGTACGCTTGTGATGACGTCGCGCCGCGCCATTCAATGCCTGCTGTTTTCTCTCGGTGCGAACTCGACGCTACTGTTACTTGACAACCTCATTGAAGGGGAAATTTACGCAGTCTATTTCTCCTTTGTTGTTGTTGATGATGGCGGGATCATTATAAGGGGAAACACGCTGAGGGGAGCGGAGGAGGACGTTCATTTGGAATCTGCTTTTTTGCTTGAATTTGCTGTTGTGAAGAATGGTGGCTACTTTGGCGTGGAGAACAACACGATGAGCGCAGGCAGTGGCATTTATTTTTATGGGGATACCACTGTGAGCTCCGCGGGGTTGCTGCGAGTGGCAGACTGCATCTTTATTGGTTTCGCACTGTCTTTTGATCCCGCGCTGGTGCATTGGGACGGCTCTTTGACACTCCAGGGCGGTGCGCAGTGGCGTGTGGAGGGCAACGGCGTGAGCGCAGCCTCAGTAATAGATATGCCTAATTCCTTGTACAAAATTCAGCTGTCGGACAGCGGCACTACCGTGGTGCTTGCACACAACCGTCAGGCGGACTCGAGTAAAGCCTTTGCGAAAATTGTTCCATGGAGCACGATTGTCGCGTCACCCGCGCGGTTTGTGGTTGGGTGCAACCTGCAGGGCGATGAGGAGGTGTCGTACGACGGTGTGTTTCCGGAGGGCGTGGTGGTGTTCGGGTGTGGCACATGCAACGACGACGCGGCGTGCTACATGCCCGGGACGGAGTCGGTGGACCGCGGCTCGTGCTCGTGCAGCTGCAAGGACGGATGGCATGGCGCGTCGTGTTTTCCCCTCGAGGTGCCCGACACGGTTGTGCTCCCCTTGCCGGAGAGAGCCGTTGACGGCGACACGAGCTGCGTGGTGAACCAGACGCTGACGAACCTTGCGGTAAAGATGTGGAGGACGCACCACTGCTACGCGGGTGTGACATTCAGCGGCGTGGGCGCTGTGCTGACGTTCTCCCTCAATCGGATGCCGCTGCATCTCCCCATCAACATCACGCTTACTGGGTGCACATTCCTTTACGGGGCTGTGCTGCAGTTTGTTGGGGGTAATGAGGCGTCCGAGTCAGCCGGCGTCCTGATCCGCGTGAGCCAGACGGTGATGCGGTCCTCCGTTGCTTTGTTTGCATTTGCCCTCCCGCAGCACTGCGACATTGCCGTCACGGACGTTGACGCGGTGCAGTTCTCTGAGGTCCGGTTGCCGGAATCTGCGAACAACATGTGGAGCGTTGTGATGCTGAAGAACGTAGTGTTGAGTGCGTCCTCGCTGTTGGTCAGCAGCGTCAAGGCGAATGCACCGAGGCACGGCTTGTTTGGTTTGTACTCGACCGGGACACTGACGCTGGTGGGTGGCAGCTCGCTGTACGTGCGGTATTGCAGCTTCGGTGGGTACACACACCTGTTCTGCGTGCACATTATCGGTGTCAGTGATCACTCTGTTTTTGCGCTGCTCAACAACACAATGGACTCCGGGACAAGCTTCTTGTATCAGAAGCAAAAATTCAGCGTGTCGGATCACGGCGTGCTGCGCGTGGTGGGAAACAGCGGTCCTGTGTCCAACGCCATCTATGCATCTAACTCGTGGACCGTCCAGCGGTCAAGCTGGCTGGATTGGCGCGACAACGACGTGGGAGTGGGTGCGATGTTGTACTACTCCGCCTTTTCTGCTATGAGCATCGGCAACAACAGTGTGGTGACGCTGACGGGCTGCAAGATGGGCTCGACGGGGTTGTCGAGGCCTCTGCTATCGCGTGCTGCCGCCGGCTACCGTTTCGTTGCTGGGTGTCTGACGGTCGCGGGACGTATGGTGACGACGGCGGCAGAGCTGGAAGTGAACGGCATCAACAACGTGACGACGGTTGCGGTGTGCGGTGAGTGCACGAAGGAGGGCGACTGCTTTGCTCCGCTGACGACGTCGGTCATTGACTGCAGGTGCCAGTGCGCTGCTGGAGGGCACGGCGATGTGTGCGTCCCGGTGCCTGTGCCTGCTGGCCCGCCACCGCCGCCGCCGCCGCCAGTGTTGCCCACGCCGCCACCGCCGCCAGTTGGTGAGTGCATCAGCGACATGGTGTACCCCGAGGTTGCGCAGGCTGTGGGCGGCGGGCTGTCGTGGCTGTGCTACCGCAACGTGACGTTCAGCGGGGGCGGCATGAGCCTGACGGTGCTGGTTGGAGCGATGACGGGCGACGTGGCGAATGTCAGGTTTGATGGCTGCACGTGGAGGGACGGCGCCGTGCTGTTGCTGTTGGGCAACGCGCACGCCGCTGTGGGGCCGCTGAACATTGTCGTCATCGGCAACACTTTCCGTGACGCGCTGCTCAGCCCGGTGGGTGTGTTTCCGCCGCGCACGAACATCACGATCAGCGGGAACCGCTTCACGGTCACGAGACTGATCCCTCGGTCAGGTTTGGACCTTAGGAGGCCGTCGTGTGTTGCGTTGAATGGGCTGGCGATCAGCAATGACTCCGCGGTGGTGCTGAGCGGCAATGTGTTTCAGAGCGTGACGGCATCGTCAAGCGCCATTTACGTAGTTGAGTCTTCTCTGAGGGTGTCGTGGCACTCCGTGTTTGCGGTGATGGGCAACACGTTTCATATGGCTGGCGGTGACGGTACGCTGATATATCTTGCAGGGTCTGGACATTTTTTGTCGCTGAGTGTACTGAACAACTCTGCCGTGGTGATCCGAGGCAACGTTGTGACGAGGCCGGTGCGGTACTTCATTTTATTTTTTGGGACCTCACGTGTGGAGTCCCAGTCCGCGGTTGTGTTTCAGGGCAACGACATGCAGGGAAGCTTAGTTGTCCTTTATCCAAGCTACTCCCCCAAAATCTACTACAACTCTTGGCTGCAGTTGAGCGACAACCTCTGCCGCGTGTCCCCATCCAATGCCTTTGCTGTTTTCAACCCCACGGTGAATCTCCGCGACTCCACGTTGTCGGTGTCCGGCAACCAATTCATGTCCAGCACAGGCACGCCGAAAGCGTTACTGATATTCAAAAGGCCCCGAGATCTCACGAACGGAGCGATTGTGGCTGCTTGCAACACTGTGAACGGCGAAGGGGAAGCGAAGTACGGCATTCCGTCCGTGTACAATGCCACCATTCTGACCTGCAGCGATCCATGCACTCTTGCGGCGTCGTGTTTCCCTGCGTACACGACGACGGTCTCGAGTGATGGCTGCGCCTGCACGTGCGCTGAGGGCGGCCATGGCGATGCGTGCCTGCCCGTCGCTGTCCCCGAGCCACCGAACACCGACGGCGCCGACCTTTGCGTGCGAGACGTGCGTGTGGGTTTGGAGGTGAACGTCAGTTTTGGGACGTCGGTGGTGTGCTACGTTGGTGTGACCTTCGCGGCGGACGTCGTGGTGGAAGTGGAGTCGATGACAGGGAGCGTGCGCAACGTGACGCTGGCGAACTGCACGTTTTTGGGCGGTGCGAGCCTGTACGTTTTGGGGTGGCGTTCCGACCCGCCTGCTGGACAGCGCGCCGAAGTGTTGATCAGCGGGCTTGAGTCGCGCTCCGGCGGCGGCGTGCTGGTGGCGAAGCGATACCCGCCGGGCTCGCGCGTCACTGTGGTGGACTCGGTGCTGATCGCAGAGAAGCGTGTTGCGTACCGCGGAGACCACGGCCTTGGCGACGCCTCCGCGTGCCTCGTGGTGCACAGCGTGAATCTGACTGGGAGCGTGCTGACCATTGCGCGCACGCACGTGGCGGCGGTGTTCCGCGACGCTGTTGGCGTGTTGGTGGTTGGCGGCGTGGCGCTGTCGTCGCGCGGTGCGCTGTACGTGGACGGGCTGTTGGTGCAGACGGCGCTGGGACTGTGTGTGTCGGTGGAGGGCGGTGTTGCGGCCAGTGGCGGCTCCGTGGTGGCGTTTGTTAACAGCGACTTCCTGCTGTGCAAGCACGCGGTGTCTGTGCGTGGGGCTGTGAGCGTGTCGGGCTCTATTGTGGCATTTTTGCGGAGCGACTTTTTGTCGGCGGAGGACTACGCGGTGGCGTTTTATTCGACGGTGAGCCTGGGTGGCGGGTCGATGCTGCTGGCGAAGGACAACGTGCACGACGGTGCCTCGAGGGAGATGCTCTACGCCGCTGGCGCCGTGACCGCTGCTGGGAGCACGCTGAGCTTTGTGCGCAACCGAGCGGTGCTGCCGCGGATGCTGTCGCTGAGCCTGTCGCTCTCGGCTGGGGCGCATTTGAGGGTGGCGTGCAACGACGCTGGTGGGCGTGTTCTGTCGACGGCGGAGGAGTACGCAGCGGCTGGTTTTGGCGACGCTGGGAGCATCGACGTTTTTGGGTGCGACGCCTGCGACAGGGACACGCACTGCTACGCGCCCGGGACGGCGTCGGCGAGCATGAGGGACGGTGTGTGCGTGTGCGCGTGCGGCAGCGGCGGGTACGGCGAGGCGTGCGTGCCTGTGGGAGCTCCCGCACTGCCGCCCGCTGTGGGCACTGCGTCGAGTGTGTTTGTCCGCGAGGGCGTGACGGTGCAGTCGGTGTTCGTTGTGCCTGCCGGCGCGAGCGAGGTGACGCTGCGCTACGTTGTGCTGGACGGCGTGAGTCCGGTGCTCTACGTACCGTGGATGGCGCGGGATGGCGTGCGGATCGTTGTGCAGAACGTGTCGCTGCTGAACGGCGCAGTGCTGTACGTGATGGGCGGTGGAGCGTTGCGCGGTGCGGGAGCGGCGGGGAGCGACGAGGGCGGGCCGGTGGAGCTGTCGGTGTGCGACGTGGAGGCGCTGAACGGTGCGCTTGTGCTGACCGGCACGTTCCCTGCGGGGTCCGTGCTGACGGTGGCGGACTCCCTGCTGGTTGCCGCGAGGCCGACGCCGCTTGTGTATCTTCCCGGCTCGCAGTCCTCGCCGTACGCACCGGTGCTGGTGCTGTCGGGCCTGCGGCTCGTGCGGTCCGTGCTGGTTGTGTCTGGCGTTGCTCTCGTGACCGTGATGACTGGTGGGCGGACGGTGATGGTGGACGGCGCCGTGCTGGAGCTTGTCGGTGGCGGTGTTGCGCTGGACGCGGCTGTGCTCGGTGGCGAATATGCGTTGTACGCGAGTGCGCGCGTGGTTGCGTCTGGGGGCGCTGTGCTGCGCGTGTCGGGGAGCCAGGTGTATGCCGCGCATGGGTTGGTGTTCGACAGCGGAGTGGAGGCCAACGCGTCCGCCGTCGTAGTGAACGACAACGTCGGTGCGCTGACGGATGGCGCGCTGCTTGTGCTGCGGGGGTCGGCGTCGTTTTTGTCCGGGTCGTGGCTGTCGGTGCGCGGCAACAGCATCCGCGGCAGGCTCCTGTCGGTGCCGTCGTACCCGCGGAGTGTGGATCTCGTGCAGAGCACGCTGACGCTTTACGGGAACGCCGGCAGTGGGCCTGTCGTGATGGACGGCACCGTTGCGCTCGGGGGCACCGGCCGAAGGTTCGTCGTTGGGTGCCTGACGCTGAACGGGCAGGCGCTGCAGCCGATGGAGTACAGGTCCGCCGGCATCATCGGGAAATTCCACCCCGTGGCGTGCAGCGTGTGCGATGCCGACGTGAGTTGCTTTGCAGCTTCGACGAGGGCGATGTCGGGGTCGTGCGGCTGCCGCTGTGGTGAGGGCGGGTACGGGCGCGACTGCCTGCCGGTGTACCTGCCGCGCGTGGACGGGTGCAACCGCACGTCTGGCATGCCGCTGCTGAGCCACACGGCGACGCTGACGGAGACGCGCAGCCCGACGCCAACGTGGACTTCAACATGGACGCCGAGTCTGGGCAGGACGCAGTACGGGCCGACGGAGACCCTGCAGGTGAAGGAGACGGTGGAGCTGTCGCCCACGCGGACCCCGACGGCATCGGTGAGCAGCACGCTGTGGTGGAGCGACGTGGCGTGCCCGACGCTCGCCGTGACGACGACGGCGGCTGGAGGAGGCCTGACGCAGAATGACATCCGTGGAGGTGGGAGCGCCGTCCCGACGCGGCTGATGGTGGCGCTGCCGCCGCCGTTTCGGTGGGCACGCGACCCGCAGCTCGGCACGCACCTGAGCTTCGTGCCTGTGTCGACGGCGCAGCCGCGCGGGTTTGGTGGTCCGTGGGGAGCGATGCTGAGCAACGCGACGTGGGTGCTCAACGCGACGAATCCGTCCACTGTTCTGGAGCTGGCTGTGCCCGTGCACCGCGGTTACTTCATTGCTGCCGACGAGACGATAGTCATTCGCTGCGACGCTGCGGCGGTGTCCGGCGGCTGCAAGGGTGTGCTGCTTGGGTCCTTCACGATCAGGTCTGACACGCTGCCCGCCGCTGCCAACGCCCTCTCGGCGATCACCGGCGTTGTTGCGGGTGCGGCGGCTGTTGCCGTGGTGGTGACCGGCGGGCTGGGCTCCGTCCTGGAGATGCAGGCACTCGGCGTGTTCGCGAGGATGCCATGCGCCTCGGCGCAGGAGCGTGCGAGCACCGTTGCGCTGCCGTACTTCCTGTCGGTGTTCGCTGCCCGTGACTCGCTGTGGATGGTGGTGGGCAACGCGCTGCTTGCCGCTGTGTTCGGGTGCGTGCACTGCGGTGTGACGGTCGTCTTCCAGCGGTGGCGCGGCGTGGACGCAGCGACTGCGTGGGCTGCGATGCGCTTCCCGAGCCTGACGTACGTTGTGGCGCACGCGATGCACCTCGGCATTTTCTTTGGCTCCGTGCTTGCACTGGCGATGCCCGGCGCCCGCGTGCAGCACCGCGTGATCGGTGTCGTTGGCGTGCTGTACGGTGCGGCATTTCCTGCTGGCGTGTGCTACTTCATTGCCCGCCACGTGGGCGCGAGCTTTACGAGGTACTGGCAGTTTTCGAGGAAGCCGCTGCACGAGCGCCTGCTGTACCCCGTCGGGTATTGGCACCCCGCGGCGCAGCAGTGGATGTACGGCGGCATGCTGGCGAACATGAGGGGCAGCCACGTGTACTGGTGCGTGTTCCAGCTGTTGGTGCTGTGTGTGGTGTGCCTGATTGCTGCTGTGCACCCGCCCGTGGGAGGCTGCCACGTCCAGTACTTCTGCATGGCGGCTGTGCTGCTTGCGGGTGCGGGCGTGGTTGCCTTCACGAACATGATGCGCTCGGCCTTCCTGACGGTGATGCACACTGCGAGCTTTGTGCTCCTTGCGGTGTTGTGCGTGGTGAGTGCGGCCAACCACCTTGCTCCGAGCGACGGCGGTGCGAGGGCGTACGCGGCTATCGTGCTGCTGCTGACCACTGTGCTGCTTGCGGTCGCTGTGTACGGTGTCGTTGTGTGGTACGCGGAGGACCGTCACTGGCAGGAGCTGCGCGAGCCGCAGCGTTGTGGGCTGGAGGCGCTGCTACGCGATGACGAGGAGAGCGACGAGACGCAGAAGCCCCACGACGTGACGTCATCGTCGTACGCCTCAGGCACCACCGTTGCGTTGTCGTACCGACCACCCGCACCGCCGCGGCCCGTGGCCGGTGACATTCGCTCAGACGCCCTGAGTCTTTTTGACCGTGCATCCAGTGCGAGCTGCAGCATTAATTATGTCCCTCTGGACAGGTGAGGATGGTTCGCTGGACGAAAGAGTTATCGCAGTTTCTCATTTTTGGTGTGGAAAGGCTCCGACCCCAACAGTACCGTTACGCGGCGAGACGACACAAAGCCCTCGCAGATGCGGCATAACGTGGATGCGTCTGGCAGGGATCTTTTCTCTTTCCGTTATTTATTGATTGATTGGGTGATTGGTTTGTTGCTTTTATTTTATCGATTATCGACGACAACGGATTATCGAACTATCACGCTAGCCCGGGGCGGATGCGTAACGTGTGTGTGTGCGTGTGTTTTGCGCCCGCCGCTGCAGCACCGAGTATGGGGGCTGCTGCTCTCTCTATTTCATATCTGCTCTCAGTAGTGAGGACGTGCTCGACGATGGTGCTGGTGTGCGGGCCATAGGATGCATTCAGGAAGGCGTTAGGGAAAACAATCGATGAAGCCCTTCTGTGACGTGCCACCTCCTGGAGGTTGTGAGTGTGCGTTGCTGGCTGACATGAGGGAGAGCGTGGGTGCCACGGCTGTGCGGCTGCGCAGCCACCCATCGTGCTCTGCTCGACAGCGTCATTGATTGTTGGTTTTTTTCTATTTTTGTCTGGGTGCTTGCAGTGACTCTCTCTCCTGTTCCACGATGACTGTGTGGGAGGGAATGCCTGTCACTTCTTACACTTCTGATTTTGTGTAGAAAGAACAGCGAGAGAAGGAACGAAGAATTATGCGGAATGATGTATTTCTTTTTGTATGTACATACTGGTGTGTTCTCTTGGATTACTCTGGTGGCTTCCTCCACTTTTTCACTTTTTTTGAAGTTGCTCCACACGTGTCTCGGTGTTTGCTTTAGTACGGCCACACACGGGTAGCTTGAGTCGTGGATAGTTTTCTTTTGTGTTCCATTTTGTGTTATACGCTGACGCGGTCACGTTCGGCAAGCATCCACTCTCCACAGCATGGCGCCCGGTACTTTGGAGTCATCTCAGATGTAACGCCGGCACCACCGCCGTGGCACGCATGGGAGGTAAGATGGAACGCGGGATAGCAAAAGATATTGTGCTGCACATGTGTCTGTTGCATTTGTTCTGTTGAGGTCTTTAGTTTAGAGGAAGAGGGATGGACACTGCACGATTCTGTGGCTTGGGGGAGCTATTGCCCCCTTTTTAGATATATTTTTGGTATGATCCCTGGCCCCACTCGTGTCCGCTCCGATTGCTTCCCCTGAGTGGAGCTGCGCCATGGCCATTATTATTATTATTATTTTGGTTGTTTGCAGGAGGAAAAACACATTGCGAGTGACGAAACCACACTTCATGCATGCGGCGTCCAGGGACGTACGCATTTGAGGTGGAGTGCGCATATGTGGATGTCACGTGAGAAGGAACGGGGGTTGACTGCCCAACCGTCACTCCTTTTCTGGAGAGTGTGCTCCTATTTTTTTTTCTGTCGCCCTTTTGTGTCGGGGCACGGCGGGATTGGACAGCACCGTCCCACGAAGGGCCTTGCACACATACACACTCTGATGCCACCGTCGCCCCCGAATTTGGGAGTAAAACCCAAATTCCTGCTGCGTTTTGCATTAGCGCAATTATTTTCGTTTATTATTGGCTGACGCCATTCTGTCCGGCGTGCCACTTTGATTGGACTGTGTGGGATCGCTCGCCAACGCTATCGAACAAAACAGGCTGAAACATTCGCGTATTTAACAGCCGTCTTGCGCGCACGTATTTTTTTCACTTGTTCTGTTGGTGTGCACTCAAACAGCGAGGAGTCCGGAACTATGCGTGCGTGGAGTTTGTCCTGCCATGTGAACTGCGGGCAGCACCGAGGGGCTGTCACTTTGATTCGGTAGAGTTGTTGTGTCTCCTTGCGGGGCTGGCGGGGAAATTCCATGCAGCCTGCTACTGGTGCTGTGTGCTTAAATGCCACTCCATGCGAATGATTTGGTTTAGCGAGTGAGGGGGATGATTGGGTTTGTGTGCGCTCTGATTGTGTTTGCTGCTTTGTGCGGGCACGCAAGAATTGAGAGGTGAGAAGATGGAGCGGGGCGGTGCATGGCCGCGTCCCAGACTGATGGTGCTCGCCTCGGACAAGGGAAGGGCCGTACTCGTGGAAATGGAAGGAGAACAAATCCACTCGTGACTGCTACGTGAACTGTGAGGTGGAGCGAGTGTGGCGGATTGTCAAGGGCGATCTCACCGAGTGGTTCAGCACTGACGGTGAGCCCTACTTTACGCCTGGGCGGCGTGTGTTGATAGGGACGCCCGGGATCGGGAAGTCGATGGCTGCCGGCTCGTACCTCCTCTACCAGCTGCCGCACTGCGATGTCGAGAAGCTCCAATTTGTTGTCTACAGTTTTGGTGGAAGTACGACGTACGTGTGTGACAAGGCCATCAAGACGGTGACAAGACACGTGGGTGGAGGAGCATCCACGGACGTTTTGTGGGATTGTGGGATTGTGTGATGAAAGGGCATATTTTCTACGACGTGACAGAGAAAGGGACACCGCCAGCGGAATATTTTGTGTCTAGCACCGGATGGGGCATGAGTGTGGTGTCACCCCCAAACGTGGGCAACTGTGATGAATGGGAGACGCAAGTAAAAGCCGAGCGGATCATCGTGAATTGCCCTGACGAGATGGATGTGAAGGCGATGTGTGCATGGATGGAGCGCGATGGGACTACGGATGGGCAGGCGGAGTGCTGGAAGATGGTCGAAGAACGCATGGATAAAGTGGGGCCGATTCCACGTCACATCTTTGATGCGAATAAGTTCGTTGCGCACTCTGCTGCCATTGAGGATGCCTTGGATGGGATCAATTCCCGGGACGGTGAAAGGCACTTTACACATCGGGGAGTGAGGCTGTGGTATTCTGGGGATCCGCCTCAAAAGGTTGTGAGTGTTGTCCGAGCAAGAGGAGAATTCGGTGCTGGGGGATTTCTCAACGCAGCGATATCCGTTTGCCTCGGGCGTCGAATAGCGCACTATTTTGGGGGACGCGATGAGTGATGGGGATTTAGTTCTGTTGCTAGTATTGGGGAAGAGGAATACTCTTTCGTCTGAATGTGTGGAGGGTTTGGCTTGCGCGCATTCATGTTTGGAGTGAGTTTTTCGGTGCATTAGTAGAGGAACTCAAGGAGCTGGGGCCACCAGCACGTCGTGGAGGACAGCACGCAGTGCTGAAGGCGATCCCTGGAGGGCACCCCACCGAGTTGTATGTGGATCGGCTGCAGTGGAATATCATACAAATAGTACTATAAAGCATCGGCTGCCGTGCATACCGGCGGTTGGAAAGTTTTTGCTGGTGGACGCCTTTTTCTTCGTGGACTCAAATCCAATGACGCTGATTGGGTGGCAGCTCGCTGTACGC